CAAAGTTCACACTTGCACTTGGATTTGTGGCACACTTGAAAGTTGCAAACTTGTTGCACAGTGTTGCAAAACACACACACATACACACACAGAAGCACCTTCGTGTAGGAACGCTCTTTAAGTATGCAACACTTTGTTTCTGTTTGTTGCCGTTGTGATAAACGACTAACGGTAACAGTCGTAGCTTAACTCAGTTCTGAGACTAACGAGCAACACGCACCGTACCAGCAGACACTAGACACTGGGAGCAACACGTTGTTGACACAAAGACCGCCTAACGAAGACTAATGACAGCTTTATTCGCTTCTCATTCGTTCGCTCTGCGACCAGGCTGCTGTTGTGAGGTTCACACGTTGCGTGCACGACGAGCGTTAGATACGAACTGATTGCTTGCCAGCCTGCCAGGCATTTAACAGCCGCTCGTGCCGCACTGCCGACTGCACACACACGAACGCGCTGCGTGCAACTTCGGCTCGACAAGCTGTAAGCAAGTAACGAGCTCGCTTAAGAGCGCGCCTAGCAGCGCGTGAAGAGCGGGCAACAAAATCGAGAGAGCGAGAGAGAGAGAGCACGCGCTGCCACCACCGGCTGAGGACAATTGAGCTGTAAAGCGTTTCATTTCACATTGTTGCAACGTTTCAGTTCACAGCGTTGCGATAAATACTGCAACTGTAAACTGTTGCTGGCCTGTGTTTCGCTTTTGTTGCTTACGCCTGCGCGGCGCATATGCAATGCTCTTTACTACTGTTCTCTTGCCTTCAAGTTGAAGGCACGCTTTCAATTCAATTTGCCGCAGCTGGCTGCAGCTTGTCACCAGCTGCATTTCAATTGCGCTCTTTGCTTGCTGCGGTCCGGGAGAGCAATACAATTCGTATCGTTTCCATTTCATTTCGTTTCATGCGCAGTTCGTTTCGTGCGGCGCCTAAAAGCGTTTCGCCTTACATTTTGCTATTGTTGTTGCTTGTGTGCGCATTGTTGTTGTTTGTTTCGCGCGCAACAGGTTCAGTTTCAGCCCACCCCGCAGCCGCACCCGCAGCCGCACCCGCAGCCGCACCCGCCCACTGCCTTTGGCTTTGACGCAAATTCGTCTATAGCTTTTCATTGGCCTTTCACAGGACTTTGGGGCTTCTTTTGGCCGTGCTTCTGCCCCTGCAACCCGCCACCCGCCCCCCGGCTGTCGTGTATTTATATATTTATTTGCAGTTTTTGCTTGTTTATTTTGTTGTTGTTGTTGTTGTTGTGCTTTTATGCAAATACGAGCACAAAATCGTTTTCTGCACGCTTTGACTTTGCCTTAAGTGCATGTGTGTGTGTGTGTGTATGTTCGTGTGTGTGTGTGTGAAGTCGTGTATAAATGAATTTGCATATAATTGTTTGCATGTTGAGTGCCTTTTAATTGATTTTATTGGTTTGCACAACAACAACAACAACTAGAGCAAGAAGCACAATGAATGGCAACAATTTTCCACAATTTCCCCCCATTTCTCACTTTATCGCGTGAGTTATCTCTTTCGGCCAGCAGCTGGTTTATTTACTCGCAAGCACTTTGCCCCACTGAACACAGCTTAATATGAATTTACAATTCTCGATGGGAGGAATGGGTGAGTGGGGTGAGGGGGAAAGGGGGGTGGGGTGGCCAATTACTTATCAATAAATACATAAATATAAATTATGCAGCGGCTTAAATTGCAGAAATCTGGCATTTGAGCCAGGGCGTGGATTATGCGATTATAAGAAAGTGCATCGAGCGTGACTGAAGGCTAATTTCAAGACAAATCGACGGATTATGCGGTGCTCAAGTGTGTACATATTCAATTTGTACCTGTACCTGTGTACCTGTTAGTTCGAGCCTAGGTATTACATTTGATTACATCCAACTAAAGGGAAAGTTATTATTATACCCTTGCAGAGGGTATTATCATTTTGTCGTGAAATCTGTAACGCATAGAAGGAGACATCTTCGACCCCATAAAGTATATATATTCTTGATCAGCATCAATAGCCGAGTCGATAGAGTCCATGTCCGTCTGTCCGTCTGTCTGTTTCTATGCCAACTAGTCCCTCAGTTTTAAAGCTATCTTAATGAAACTTTGCAGAATTCCGTCTTTCTTTCGCACGCAGCACATATGTGAAAACCAGCTGGATCGGAACACTATATCATATAGCTGCCATAGGAACGATCGGTCGAAAATTTAGTTGTTGTATGAAATAATATTTTGTTTATCAAGATATCTTAACCAAACTCGGCATTTATTAGTTTTAATAAGCTCCTCATGTATATGCAAAATCCTATTATGATCGGACCAGTATATCATATAGCTGTCATAGGTCGATCGGTCGAAAACTAGGTTTTTGATTAAAAACCTTTTTGCTTATCAAGATATCTTGCCCAAATGCGGCATTAACTACTTTCCCTGTGCTTCTTAGATACGGGCAAAGCATTATGAAAAGGTTGGGTCTGCAAGTGTATTAGATCTTCGGCGTGCCGAAGCTAGCCTTTCTTTCTAGTTTTATATAAAAGACGAAGTCTGATTTTTATCCATTTTCCATAAATGGAACTTTTCAAATGCATTGCAATTTATTTTCCGAAAGCTTTTATATTTCCAATAGAACTTGAAGCTCTTGAGAAGAAAATTTGCCTCTATTTCACACAAACTTTCCCATTTTCCAGGGGCAGTTTCTTCATATAGTGTGAAATCCAATCCCGAGTTTGTCATTGTTTTCCACAAATTTTCCAGCGCTCAAATAAATGATATACAATTTGTAAAGCTTCTAAGATTTTTGCTTAAATTTTCCAATTCCAATAAATAGATTTTTGCTTTTATTCCAAAAACTTTGCCCATCTAGGAAATTGATTTGCGGTTTGTAAATTCATTTATGGTTCTCACAATAAAACAATTCCATTTCCATATTTTTCATAGAAATTTATTTACCAACAATAAGGAAATGTTCTGTTAAAGTGCCCAGCCTCACATTTATTTATAGTAATAAATATATATGAAATTCCCAAATTTAGTTAGCGGAAATGAAAAGTGACCAAATCGCGAACACTTCAAAAACTGCGAAATCTAATCAGGATAATGTGCAAAGATTTTTGTTGAGCAGCGCGAAACTAATTTAAAACCAGCCGCCAACTGTAATTAGGCGCTAATGAGTTATGCCCCCAAAAAGAGGCCAGGCCAGGCCAGGCCAGGCTGCGGGATAACCAAGGCAACGGCCACAGGATTACCCGGCCCGGGGCTCCATTCATTCAGGCTCAAAACTAGTCGGAGGCATGAAAAAAAACTGGCACTCGGATGAGCTGCAGCTGCAGTTTGGCTAATCAAAAAGTGCGATTAATTTGCTCGCTTTTGAATGGGGCAGCTGCTGGCTGTCTGTCTGTCTGCCAGGCGAAGGGGGCGTGGCACTGGTGTCAATGACTGCAGCTATCCGCCTCTGCGCCCCTCCCTTTCTCTGCCTCTCTCTCTCTCTCACACTCTGCGGTGCAAGGTGATAATAATCAGACAGGAGGCATTTATAACAAGACACACGCCCCCAAACAAACCACCCCGCCCACCCCCCTCTGTCCCGCCCTCACACACGGCCCTGCCCAGCTGGTGGGCGGCAGCACCATGGTAATCCATCTCCTGCCACGACAATGGTTGCTCTGGACACCAGCATTAAGCCAGACACTAAATCCAGCAAAGAAACTAGATACAAATATCTTTTGCTCCCACTGTGACTCCCTCTCTCGCTCTCTCTCACTTTCTCTGTGTGTGGGTGTGTGTGTGTGTGTGGCCTTTAGTATAATTATGGTGGCATCACAGGACATGTCGTTGACAAGCTCAAGTTGGGCCAGTCACTCAGTCGCACATATCAACACACACACACACACAACCACACACACACACAGGCACATTAGTAACCACCATAAAACACACGCAGTGCCGCACAGAGATTGGTCTGTGGGTGGGCCCATAAACCAGATCCGCATGTGTCCAAGTTCGTAAAGTTGATTCATTCATGGCAGCAAAATTTATATGGCCCTGACGCGTGCGTCCAACGGCGGCTTCTACGCTAAGGCTGCGTCTCCTAAGCGAAACTATAAAACAAGTTAAAGTGCGACTAGGCGAGTGTGTACGACGCACAAATACCCTGTATACAGAGTAGAGCTGTTCATAAGATAAATAGCTTTTGCTTAGATCTAGCTAATCCGGAGCATGTATTTGGAAAGAGATCGTTGAGACTGTGCACGACGCCCGAATACCCTGTAGACAGCCACAGCAACTAGACAATTTATTGAATAAGAGATCCATGAGGGCCCAGGTTTCTTTCCGGGAGCCGACTAGACACGTATCTAGTCTTTTCTCTTATCATAAACTAGGAGATTTCTGCAAATCGATATTTATCGATTCGAGTACTCGGTAGCTTGTCACTCAGATTACCGCGCTTGCCTTGAACCTGAATAAATATACCATTCTGGATCTTTGAAAAGGAACCCGCGCCTATGTCCAGTCTCTTCTGCTCTTTAATAAGTTTCTGTTATCTTGAACCTGCCTTCTGCTACGTGTTACATACACTTGCACGTCTGCGATATACCCTAACTGAAACATTTTCAAGAGGTACAGGGTATAAAAACATCTAAAACTAACTACAGCTGAATGCGGCTGCTGCTGCTGATGCGGATGTGGATGTGGATGCTGATGATGCCGCTGACAATGACAATGACGATGAAGCTAATCCTCCCCCTCTTTCCACCCTTGACCCCCTCTCTAGCCTATGCCCGCTGTGCGCCGCGGGATGCCGTTTTGAGGCAAATGATTTATCTCGCAGCTAGACTGCAGCTTGGGCATTGGAAACTGGACTTTAGACTGCATCTTGGCTTATTTAATGCGGCCTATTTGCTTATGTGAAGCCCGCCAATTAGCCGAGTCGAGGCACGTTTAAGTGGAAATCAATTGGAGCTGCGATTTCAGCATGAACTCTAATGGATACACTGAGAAAAATACTAGTTAAACTGCGTTTACTGCATGACCTTGAATGGGTACACTGGAAAGAAAAAGTAGGCATCAATTTATTTAACGCATTGCCGCCTTCTTCTTGCGACGGGCAATGCGCGCCAGCTCCTGCTCCGTGGGACGATGTTCGCCGTAGCGATCGACCCAGGCCTCGGCCATGCGATAGAACTTCTTTGGATCATTCACAAATTGACTGGCTATCTCCACGTTGTAGGGATTATCGGGCTGTGGATCGTTAATGGTCGCGATGAGCACCTGCAGCACGTGCTCGATGCGCGACGTTGGCTTCCAGTGCTCCGCCTCTAGTATGGGCAGGCAGACCTGGCCGCGCTCATTGATATTGGGATGATAGATCTTCGTGTTGATGTGAAGAATGGGTGGCCGAAAGGGATACTCCTTGGGGAAGTCTATCTCCAGCTTGAAGGCGCCCTTGTCGTACGGCGGCGTATTGGGCATCAGCAGTGCATACCACTTGTAGATGTTGTCCTTCTCGGGCTCCAGCAGCTGCAGCTGGCTGAGCTGCTTTTGCTCCATCATCTGCTTCAGCTCGTTCTGCATGCGCTTCGGCCCATCCATTATGGCGTCGTCTTTATTCATGGTTGCGCCTATTTTTGTTTACTTTTGCCTCTACTCAAGCTGTACAATTTTGTCTAAAGTATTTCTCTCAGTGTTCTATTATGAGTGTGTGTGTGTGTGTGTATGGGGCAGGCTAGGCTAGGAGTTCATTTGGCGAAAAGCAAGACCAGGAAAGTATAGACAAAGCGAGAGAATGTCCCCGACGAGGAGATATCCTTCGCTCAGCATTCAAACACACGTCATGGAGTATTCATTTGTGAACAATTTTGTTGTAAAATGCTTGGCTTTTTGCTTTCCAGTTCCTAAAAGTTTTGAGCTGTGCTCTAAGTAGGTTAGCTGAATATCGATATTTATCGATTTTGGGAATACGAAGCAGTCGAGAGAATATACCATAATATATCCACATTAAAGAAAGAAAGCTTGGAGATATGCTCGCACAAATACACAGACTGAGTATTTGTATCGATATTTATCGATTTTGTGAACACGGGGAAGTTATCGATAACTTCAAATAGATTCAAAGTTGCCTTTCTCCGTTGCCTGTTACGCACAGACACACAACCACAATACCCTCGCAATAACCATTTTCAAGGCACACAGGGTATCTACATATATTCATAAAAGAAAAAAACTAGAGAAATCCTTTCACATTGACATTAATCCCCGAAATAGCCGCTTTAAGAGTCCGCCTGACGTCCACAGGCTCTGACAGCAGCACATTAGGATCAACTGGGCAAAGCAATGGCACATTGAAACAGATGAAAGGTTCTAGCGCTGTTCCCCCCCGCGACCCTTACCCTCGCCCAAGCATTTCTTTTGCTCCATTTGTTGGCGATACAATTCATGCTCGGAATCTAAAGCCGTTTTATATAATGTATTTGGCCAAGTCGCAAAAGTTCGCTCTTCGTATTTTCTATCTGTGCATTGAATTATGCACACGGGTTATGCCATGTGTCCAGGCAGGTTCTTTTCACCGATTTTTTGGCGCAGATAGAACATGTAGCTGCAGAAAATAGGTGAGCAGAAGGCGCCGTGATGTGATTGCCATTGACATTATAGTTTTCAATTAGCTGAACAGGTGTGGCAAGATGAAGACACACGAGTCCCATCGCAATTCCAGCGTATTCCGGACTCATAAATATGTAAAGATTTTGCCAAAAAGCATAATAAAACCCACTCAAAAGGAAAGCAAAGCTTTGACAGCGCAGCCAGCGTCCCTATATCCCACCTCATCTCGACTTACAGCATATTATTTTGGTCTCCGATGGGAAGGTTGATAACAAAAACATGAAAATTAAATATCAAAAATATGCGATGCAAACGAACAACAAATTCTACTTCTTCTTTGTGCGTGTGTGTAATTATTTATGTTGTATGTCATCATCATGTAAATGAAACCAAGACGAGACGACGACGACCATGGAAATTTGGCCCGGAAACGCAGCATGACGTGCGTAACGGGGCGTCTCAGGCGTAATTAGGATATACATATATGTATAACAGTGTGTGTGATTGTGTTTGATTGTGTGTGTTGGGAAAACAAGAAAGAACTGGTAGCTACGAGTAACTGAATCTGGAATACCCTTGCTGATATAATAGAACTTAATTTTGATCAATTCCTGGAACTATACAAAATAGTATTCTTATGTTGATTAGATATTCAAAGCTCTATTTACTGAAATATCCGTTTGAACAAAAGAATGTTGTATACAAATATATATAAGTCGAGGTAAATTGAGCAATTGAAAAGGGAAGACGCTGGTTCAAATCCTAGGATTAGTGTGTGCTCTGTGAGCCGTGCATAATTGTCAATGCTGGGTTATAGCCTAATTCCACTGTCAACATTTCTTACATTTTTTGCGAAAGTGAAATATGTTGCCTGTACATTTTCCCTTTAGGAACCACATTTTTCACATTTGCCAAAAATGTTGGGTATTTTGTGTTTTTTGCGATGATTTATCGAATTTCGAATCTGACACTTGCTAATGGAATCGCAGAATGTGAAGTTTGTAAATGTAACATATTTAGCGCACAGTATCATTAAGAAATGACGGTATGAAGTAAATACAAACTAAAAGAACCTAATGTCATTTCATGGCTACAGAATATCGATTCCTATATTTAAAAGAATACAAAATAGTTCATTAGTTCCTCAGACAGCTATATAAACATAAAGTCTCGATCCGGCCAACTTTTACACCCTGCCAAGAAGGCAGACGAATCTCAAACTAAGAGACTTGTCAACACTCAGATAGACAGACAAAGCAATATCGAAGCAACGCTTAATACTGATCATGAATGTATATCCTTAATATACCTAACACATTTCCTGATGCCCAATCCAAGGATATGTCTGGCGCCTCTTCGCGGCATTCCCTAGGACTGCTGCTTATACTATTGTGTTTTACAACACTTACAAATCCGATTAATCAGTATTATCGATAACATGTCAGTGGCCAAATACCCAACCTTGGAGCAGAACAAGATAAATGCCCATCACAAAAAGTGGCAGCCAAGGCGTCTGACAGCGCTGCGGGACGCAGAGGCGTCCCTCGACCAAAACTGCGCGATGGGTGTCGCTTTAAGGCAGGGAGAAGGGGAATGGGGAGAGGGAGGGCGGTTGTTGTCAGCTGCCTGGCATCAACGCATCCGCCATACTTTTAGCATAAACAGCCGGAAGCGGAAATGTAGATGACGCCGTGCGCCCACTCATATAAATGCGTGTGTATCTAGCCGTGCACTGAGAGAAATTAAGGCAGCTTAAAAAATAATAATACAAAATCAAAAAAAAAAAAAAAGACAGTGCTGATTTAGATATTTAGTATAAATTTGATATAAATAAGAATAGGAGAAAAGGATTAGGCACAAAATACATTTAATAAGAGTTCGAGTACTTGAAATAAGCGTAAGACTTTCTCAGTAAAAGCTCTTAAAATTGAGTACTCGCGTTTTTGAGACTTTTGGGATTCAAGAGAAAAAGGTCTGCAATTACGAATTTCGTTTGCAGACTGAAAAATTGCGACTTTAGCGGAATTATGTTAACACTTGTACTTGATTTGAGTGCAAAGTTCACGAAATTTTCTCTGAATGTATGCTCATGAGTATGGGTGTATTTTATACCCTACAACCCTTGAAAATGGTTAGAAAGGGTATACGATTTTTGTAAAATGGTATGTAACAGGCAAATTAAGACTTCTTTGACTTCAATCAAATATATATATTCTTGATCTGAGTCGACGCAGCCGCCTCCGTATTTCTAACAGTCTTTCTAGAAGATTCTATAGATTTTCTAAAGATTTGACCTCGTAACGTATATAAATTCTTGATTAAGCTGACGAGCTTCCATTTGTGCGTTAATTCCAAAAGACTAGAAATTTTTAATTTTATATATATAAAGAATATAAAAGTATATATGTTTCGAAAGGGTTTATAATTTTCTCCCATAATTTCTTCCTATTTTCATAGTATCGAAAAATATATGACTTGCGATATGTTGAAGCATAACATGAACATTTTAAAAGCCTCAAGATACTCCAAAATTTTTGTATATTATATATAGATTATAGATCGATAATCGAGAAAGAACAAGCATCTCGGCTGCGTAAAGTGTGGTTATATATACAGAAGAGTCTGGAATGCCCTGGTGCTGATTGTAGGGTATCTCTTAGTCGAGCATTTGGGCCTAGCGCACACTCACTTGCTTCTTTTCTAAGTGTGTGTGTGTGTGTGTGTGTTTGTTGAGCGCCTGCAGCTTCAGTCGCGCCCGCTGTCAGTTCCATTCCCAATCTCAATCCGCATCCCAATTCTCTTTCTTTCTTTTTCTCCCGCTTGTGAACCCCTTGCCCTCCCCCCCCCCCCTGTGCCCGTCGGCGTGTCTGTCATTTGTTTAGCTGTCATTGCCGGCGTATTGCCGCTGACAGCTCGTTGGCCTGGAGCCGGAGGCCTGGCCATGTCGATGGCGCCAAGGCGCACAACTTTTCTATGGCCATGAAAAATCAGCCAAAAATTAGCAGTCGCCGCATTAAATCTAATCTGATCCGATTTTCTATTACCAATTGGCTGCTCACATGCTGTGCTGGGATTCAAGCCGTGTGTGTGTGTGTATCTATGCATCTATGTGTGTGAATTAACGCCCTTTTGCCTGGCCAGCCGCCCCCAGCTCCGCCCCCCTTTTGCATGTGTGCACTTAAATCTTTTTATCGCACTCTAACACTGCGGCTCAGCTTTTCGGCTGGCTTTCAACGCCTTTTGCTTCACTGTGGAGCGTTCTTCATTAGCGCGAAAAACGTCGCGTGCGGCTTTTCTTCTTACTTTATTTTCTTTCATTTTCCGCCTGTCATCGACCCTTTTCGGGCTGTCTTTTGTTGTCGACTGTTGCTTTTTGGCCGTGATATATGAAGCGATTAACATTAAAGGTGCCTAATTGATTCGGGCAGCCAATGTCCGACGCGTTTTAGGCCACCCTCTGCGACGCCAGGGAGGAGGGGAGGAAGTTGGGGCAGCTGCCACAATTTGCGTATAAATTTTCATTAAGAAATTATCGCTCGTGTTGCTTAAATTTAAATTAATTATGTATGGTTTATCATCAAGCAATTGGCGGCATGCAAGGGCGCACAGCCACGCCCACACACACACGCACATACATGCAGTTGTTGCCACATGCAACAACAACAACAGATTATTTATGCCTTCAGTGAAGTGCACAGCACATCAACGACAACGGAGACGATAACGATAACGAAGGGGAGAAGCTCGTATAATATTAAATTGCATGAAGTGAATAAAAGCAAAGTACACACAACAACACACACACACACAGGCACAGGCACATACACGTAGAGACGGCGACGCCTTGTGCCTATGACTGCGACAGCTTAAATTTTGTTCCAGGGCTGAAGAGCAGCTGTTAATGGAACCATCATAAACGTGGCATCAGCTAGAAGCTAAACGCCTGCCGGGTAGAACGATATTATAAGAGGGTCATGGAAATCGTAATGCAGTGAAGGTGACTTCTGTGAGCTTAAGAACTATATACCTTTATATATATTTATGAGTAGCATGAAAAGCCCCGTCGATTTGCGTTCCTCTGAGCTTCAGTATTTTTCCATACAAGCCAGTCGCTCACTTTTGAAGCTATTGTCATGAAACTTTGCATTCATTCGTCTTGCTGTTCCTGTGTCAAAACTGGTGAAATCGTAACCCTGTATCATATAGGTGCCCAGTTGTGATCAGTGGAAGATGCATTTCTTGTAAGAACAACTAATTTGTTTATCAAACTATTTTAT